TCGGTTCCTCAGTCTCTCTCTGATACCGTATCGGAGTCCTCAGCCAGCTCTCTGTTCCTACGCTGTTACCAAATGACCAGTTTACACACAGGGGCACTCAGGGAGACTTGCCATCATAACAAGTCCACATAAACTATAAGAGTGTTGGTTATGTAATCTCTGTCAGAATGTATAAATTTAATCTGCTCTTTTTCTGGCTCTCTGATGTATTCATAGCCCCATCCTTAAAATAACCTAATTTCAAATAGCACAGCCCTGGCAGCTCTGTCAGCCAGCCGCTCTGTTGATCTCAGTCTGACGGCAGCTCAAAGGGGGCGGTAGAGGAGCAGTGGTGGCCTGGCAGTGAGAGAGTGTCCACATCATCCAGCAGGGTGAGGTCAATGACTCATCTCATCTCTTTTGGGCCTGGATCAGGTACTGCCGGTGAGGTGCCAACACTGCCACAGTTAGACGTTCAGGTCACATTAGTGGACGGTAATAAGACGAGGCTGGACGAAGCAGGTGGGCCTTTAACCAGCAGTTACTACAGGAGCGTTGGAAGTGAAAATACCCCTTGTACAGATTTTCACAAACTGTCCTGGTAGCAAGCTGCTGTATAACTTAATCACATTTGCTATAAATGAAAATCAATATTAAAATGGTTACCAAAGATTTGATGGCTTTAAACAGACCACATAAGGACAAGTAGGGCTCCTTGTGAAAATTGTCTATTCATCACTAATGTTTCTCTGGGAAAAAATAAGGACATGAGCCATTGCTGGGTTTTCCAGATGCAAGAATACGTGTCACCCCTCCCACATGTACCTCATGCATTTTAAACTCGCCCTGTCGACACCTCTGCTCTGACTGCTGAGTGTGTACTTCGCTTTGTCACAGCACCTCCCCGTCTCCCAGTATTACCTGTGTTGACATGACTTACCCTGCCACCACAGTCTCTCACTCAGTCACTTTGGCTTTTCGCCTCTCGCTCATCTCAGCCCACCTCTGCCTGCCCAAGTTTAACTTCATCACTGTCCTGCATTTCCTCTCTGAGTACTTCCTGTCCTTCACCACTGATTCTCTCTAGAAACTGCTGTAGATCTTTGACTTGTCATATGTCTGACCTTCTGAGAAAGATCAGCTCTGTGCTTTCTAGGAGCAACGTTGAAGTCAAGAGCTGCAAGAGGTCGTCCTTTTACACTACTTTTCAAAAGTTTGGGATCGCTGTTGCAGAAGCTCCCACAAATGTGTTGTACTGTGCATGGGTTGCTTTGCTTTCATTCTGGACAAACGTTCAGCTTCACTAGGATTTGGTACTTTGTCTATTTTATGTCATTGTAAACTAAAAATCATTTGGTTTTCCAATTTTGACAATTGATGTGAAAGTCCCCTGAAGTGACATCCTCAAATTCCAGAGAATGTTTTTTCATATTTGCTGCCAAAAAAGACTTGATTATCAAAATAACAGCTGATCAGAACAAAATACAGTGGTGTCTAAGCATGCACTCGGTTTTTTTAGGTACATCAAGCTAACACTAAGATGGTCTAATCCAACAGTCCTCCATTAAGGTGGTAATGTTCAGTTTGCTTTTAAACTGATTCAGTTTGGCAATTTGTGGTGCCAGTGAATTGCACTGCACTATACTTTTCTTTTGTCCACTCTATAGTATTGAGGCCGAGCTAAGTAACAGCAGTCCTTCTCTGTTTAATGCAGCGCAGCTCAACAGCAGCACAAACATACAGCTGAACATTACGACCTTCATGAAGGAGGATTTATTATAGGACTCTTGTTTTCAGACTGCATTAGATGTGGCCAGGTGTCCCTGCGACACAGTTTGTCATGATGTTGCGCAGCCTGCTGTATTCTGCTGTTGTGTTGTGTAATGTGCAGTAAACATCTCCCTGCTTCATGTGTAGATTTCCCTGTGGAGGCTTGAGAAGTGGATTAGTTTGCATACTCTGCCTGTAAAGGCTTACGACGGGTGGGAAGAAACTTATCAAAGCAGAAAAACTCAAACTGAGTTTTTCTATTTTGGGGGACTTTTTGGTTTAACATCTGGTTGGTGGGCGCTCGGGCTCAGGAAGCACACACTGGGGGTCCGAGGGGAACACTGGTGTGAGTGAGCAGCGGGCACATCTGGGGCACCACTGAGTGCACGCAGGCAGCAGAGCAGTCAAGCAGAGCAGGGATGAGGTGCCGTGGATACAGTAGTGCACCACCACCTGCTCATTTACTCCCGCACTCTTCTTCTTTAATGATTGTTCTTTGTCTTCCTCAACAGGGACGTGACATGGGGAACCTACTGAAAGTTTTGACATGCACAGATCTGGAACAGGAGCCCAATTTTTTCCTCGATTTTGAAAGTGAGTTGTTTTTAAGTAATCGCTCCCTCTCCTCTGATATCGATCACATGGAATACATCACCATCACGTTATCAGACTCTTTTCACCCTCACTTATTTTTAACACCGTGTTTCTCCCAGTGGTTAAAGGAGCTTCTGGACGGTCCCATCAATCAGCCTCTTCCACACTGGAGTGTGTAAAGAATATCAATCAGAGCAGAGTCTTAGTCGAGCCCCTTCCTCAGATATAAAGCGCTGAAGTTCGCCACAGCTTGATCCTGTATTGTAGCAGCCTCACACTTGGCCAAAGACTCGGTCATACCTTTAGAGAAAACCATTTCTAGATGGTTTTTATTTAAACAGAAGAACATCCCAGTTTTATCTATCAGATACTTTTAGTTTAAGATTTTTTTTTCTTCTTTCTTCTAAATTCACCACTTGAAATGAGGCTGAATGAACTTTTATTAACATAAATGAAGGTTGCTTATTTGAGAGCTTTCCTAGAGCTGTTTCTTTTCCTGGGTCTACTGAGCCAAGGTGATTCCATCCAGATTTGCTCCTTTGACCTTGTTGTCATTTGCTGCAGATGCCCAGCCCACAGATGCAGAGCGTGAGGTGTGGGAGCAGGTGGATGTGGTACTGAAGGATGCGAAAGGGGTCCTGGACGAGCTGCAGGCGTATAAGGGAGCAGGGCAGGAGATCAGAGAGGTACTGACAGTACATACGGAGCCCCGGCAGAGATCCTACCCACTGACTGCACCTTCTCAGTCTGTTCTTTAAACATAATGTAGCAGTGGATCTTCCCTGGGTGTTGTATAATTACAAATAAATCACTTTTGGTTTCTTGGCTAAGTCTTGATAGATGTTTATAAGCCATGACCCGCAAATGACGCCTGACACTAGAGACACTTATTTAATTTCAAACCCAAGAAGTTCTAGAATCCCGACTTTTGATTTCAAGTGAATAACAGTAATTTTGTGACAAATTCTTTATTATTAAAGGAATTCAGCTTATTATTAAACTCAGTCTAGAAAAAAAGCAAAGTTTCTTTTTTTAAATTATTCTTATCAGAAACTGCTGCCTACATTGCCTCTGACAAATGCAGGTGTTTTATGCCTACTGATGTACTAAGAGAGCTGGATATGCTGCTGCCATTTAGCTTTGCTGCTCCTGGTATTGAAACGAAGAAATCCCCTGCAACCCAAAAAGCTGTAAAACTGTTTATATGGCACGAACAAGGTCGATTTTTACTCATTCTGTTATGGAGATTTTATGTGTGTAAAACTTCCCGGGGGGTACTGGTTGCCATCTTTGAGTCACATGTCCAGTACATCCATACAAAAGACTTATGTTTTTAACATGTACAATCACGCTCCAAGACCTGTTAATAGACACTGATGTATAAAACAAATAAGGGTCACTAACAGAAAACTATACTGAGCTTTCACAAATCTGACTTTTTGCTTATGAAATATTATAGCATGACTTTAAAACATTTTATCTACTGTTGCTTTTGACAAATTATCCCCTTTTTGTTGTTTTTGTTTTTTTCCAGGCAATCCAGAATCCAAGTGATGAGGCTTTACAGGACCAGGCGTGGGCAGCTGTGGTTCCTTCAGTGGGAAAACTGAAGAAGTTCTACGAGTTCTCCCAAAGATTAGGTATGTGTCTGTCTGGGCTATGAAGCTCACACATACACTGCTTAAATGGAACGAGATCAGACGCTTGAACTGTTTCATGTGTAACTGACACTGTACGACCCGTGTGTGTGTGTGTGTGTGTGTGTGTGTGTGTGTGTGTGAGCAACTTCCTTTATGTACCTATATGACCTGGATTGCTTCCATGTATATCTGTACTATTACACATATTACAGATAGCCTGCCATGCCTCAAAATCTTCTGCCCGATAATTCCTGTGGCAGTGGAAAACGCAGTCAGTCGGAGTATTAAGTGGCGGCAGCCTGGTGAAGGCTGTTATGTAACAAAGTAGGTCGTCTCCCATCCTTGGATCCTGCTCTGTTTCACTGCTTTGACTTCAGGTTTTAGGGGCCGTGATTGCCTTCATGGCCTACTGTCCTGCCTGATATGCATGTCCTTTACTACAGGGTCATGGAGCGTTCAGCAGAGCATCACTGCCAAACTCAGGATAGTAGATTTTTCTGAAGAGAAGCTCATTCAGTTAGCTTTGCATTGAAGGAACAAATCTCTCCCGCTCAAATTACTAGTTCTTATATTGACACTGTAATATGACTTAAACTTAATATTACTGACAGAATAATATGTTTTCTAGGTATCTTCGTATTGCTTCGTAACAGTCAAACCTCACTTGAGAAGCTGGAATTAGGAAATATGACTAAATGACAAATCAGTTATATAAATACAATTGTTAGTTGATTTTGTAGAGCTGAAAATATAATAATAATAATAATAATAATCGCCTTTATTTGGCCAGGTATGTTACACACACACACACACACACACAAGGAATTTGTTTCCGGCACAGAACCGAGGCAGCCATCTGCGGCGCCATCTCACACTAATGGCTCTAACCATCGGGGGCAACTTGGGGGTTCAGTGTCTTGCCCAAGGACACTTTGACATGTGGACTGCAGGCACCAAGATTCAAACCTCCAACACTCCGGTTGGGAGATGACCACTCTACCCACTGAACCACAGTCACCCCACAGCCCTCGGACTGGTGGGAGGGCACATTGCGGGGGAGGGGACCACGCTAGAGACATGGAACTTCCCACCCTCCGTGTCAATGAATTGTTTTTTCTTATGAAATGAAGAGATAGCTATCCTGCTCAGATAACGACCCTTTGCTAAAATTAACAGCTAATATTTTCATGGTGCTTGTTTTGCCTGGCAGTGAAAGACTTTACAGCGATATAAAGCAGAGAACAGCAGTAGTTTGATTTTGTAGAGCTGTTTACAAAAGAACTAAAAACCCAAATTTAACTTAAGTGTAACACTGCTGACTGAACAGTGTTAATTTTCTGGTTACAGACCTATTTAAAATCCTTTTTGATACTAAAATGTGACCAGTTTTTACTGTTAAGGGAAACAGATTTGAATGCGAGTCCAGTCAGTCGGAGATTGTAGGGTCTAGACGAGGCTGTCCTCTGCCCCTCCTCTCTGCTACCTTCTGCCTGCCTGCTCCGCCATGACCTGATGAGATCAGACATCCCTGCCCGCCACCCTTCTTCAGCTTCCCAGCATAGTAGAATGGCTCATGTCTGAGGGCCTGAAAGAAGCTCCGTCTTCTGTTTTGACTGGGAAGTGGGGGGGGGGCACTAAGGCCATTTTAATCAACCACCTCACTGCAAACGCTGGCCCAAGCAGATGGGAGTCATTACTGAACGTCAAACGTGCTCAGTTCACTGTCCGTCTTCTGAAAGTCCCCTTAGGATTACCTTAAGTAGACCTCTGTTTGAATC